GTTCTCAACAGGGGGAAGAGCTTATCTCTACAAGGCCCTCCCCTCCCAGAAGCTGCTGATGGGCCAGAAGCCATGTCTGAGAACTGCATCTCAGTTTTGGACCACCCACACAAGTCTGGTGCAAAAGAAACACAAGGTCCAGGGAGGGGGAAAGGGGATTCTGTGTGAAAGCTAAGGCAGCCAGGCAGGAATCTTGTGGAAACTTGTAAAAACCAAACAATAAAGCATGCATTTGCAAAAGAAACTGCAAGCCCATAAGAGCTGGTTTGAAAGTTTTTAACAGGGGGCACAGTTGGCTGGTATATATCCCATAGGAATCTGTGTCTCCACTGAAGTTTCTAGATAAAGAAGATGGTATTTCAGGAGAAGATTACATTAAAGATCAGGTTGTTGTTTTTTTTTTAAAGATTTTATTTATTTATTTGAGAGGGAAAGAATGAGAGATAGAGAGCACGAGAGGGAAGTGGGTCAGAGGGAGAAGCAGACTCCCCGCTGAGCAGGGAGCCCGAGGCGGGACTCGATCCCGGGACTCCAGGATCATGACCTGAGCCCAAGGCAGTCGCTTAACCATCTGAGCCACCGAGGCGCCCAAGAGCAGGTTTTTAATACGATGAAATGGTATGTTCTGGAAGCAAACATCTTCCAGAAATGGCTTCCCACTTACATCGAGAGCTTTGCACATAATAGGTGCCCATTTGTTCAATAGGTGAATCTCATATTTAACTGTATTTATAAAATGCATTTTATGCCATTTAGACTGTACTCTGCGGGCATCTGGGTGGCTCAATTAAGTGTCTGACTCTTGGTTTCAGCTCAGGTCTTGATCTCAGGGTCATAAGTTCAAGCCCTATATTGGGCTCCACGCTAGACAAGGAGCCTACTTAAAAAAAAAAAAAAAAACATATAGAGTGTTTGTACTCTGAATCCTCTGTTGGCAAGGAGACCATCATTTTGCCCAGATGTTTATGTCAGCCCCCCAGGAACTGGGAAAATACAATCCCTGTGGTTGGTGGGGCAGCACATCATGACAGGGCGTTAATGTGCATGTGTGTGTAGAGTGGGGCGGGGAAGGGGGTTCAGGCAAGCACTTCAGGGAAAAGACTGGAAGAAAACATTAAGAAGTAGGGATCCTGCAAAGGGGTACGTGCACCCCAATGTTTATAGCAGCAATGTCCACAAGAGCCAAACTGTGGAAAGAGCCAAGATGTCCATCGGCAGATGAATGGATAAAGAAGAAGTGGTATATATACACAATGGAATATTATGCAGCCATCCAAAGGAATGAGATCTTGCCATTTGCAACGACGTGGATGGAACTGGAGGGTGTTATGCTGAGTGAAATAAGTCAATCAGAGAAAGACATGTATCATATGACCTCACTGATATGAGGAATTCTTAATCTCAGGAAACAAACTGAGGGTTGCTGGAGTGGTGGGGGGTGGGAGGGATGGGGTGGCTGGGTGATAGACATTGGGTAGGGTATGTGCTATGGTAAGCGCTGTGAATTGTGCAAGACTGTTGAATCACAGATCTGTACTTCTGAAACAAATAATGCAACATATGTTACGAAAAAGAAAAAGAAGAAGATAGCAGGAGGGGAAGAATGAGGGGGAGTAAGTCAGAGGGGGAGACGAACCATGAGGGACGATGGACTCTGAAAAACAAACTGAGGGTTCTAGAGGGGAGGGGGGTGGGGGGATGGGTTAGCCTGGTGATGGGTATTCAAGGGGGCACGTTCTGCATGGAGCACTGGGTGTTATGCACAAACAATGAATCATGGAACACTACATCAAAAACTAATGATGTAATATATGGTGATTAACATAACGATAAAAAAGTAGAAAAAAAAAAAACAAGAAGTAGGGATCCTGGAGCCCCACCAAGCCACTAGGGGCTGCATGTCCTAGACACGTCTGTTATTCTTCAACAAAAATCAGCATGAACAACATCCCACATTCCCGTGGGTTTGTTAAAAGACCACAATACTTTGCAGCTCCTCCCAACAACAGGGTCTACTTCCCCATTCCTTGAATCCAGACTGGCTCTCTGACTTGCTTTGAGTGACAGAATGTGCTGGAAGTACTCATGTGCCAGTTCTAAGCCTACCTCAACAGGTCTTGCAACTTCTGCTGTTGCTGTCCTGGGAACCCTTTTCCCACCATGTGAACAACCTCAGGCTAGCCTATTGGGGGACAAGAGACTGTTTGGAGAGAAGCGAGTCCCCATACCAACCAGGCCACAGCTGACCTGGCAGGTTACAGTGGCCACTTACAGAGGTCCTAGCTATGGCCAGAAGAGCCACCCAGCTGAACCCAACCAAACCGCCAACCCGTAGAATTTTGAACCATGTAAATACTTGTTGTTTTAAGACACTAAGTTTTGACTTGCGTGGGTTTTTTATTTTTTTAAGATTGATTTTATTTATTTATTTATTTATTTATTTATTTATTTATTTATTTAAGACAGAGAGAGCATGATTGGGGCAGAGGGAGAGGGAGAGAGAGAATCTCAAGCAGACTCCGTGCTGGGTGCAAAGCCTGATGCAGGGCTCGACTCATGACCCTGAGATCATGACCCAAGCCCAAATCAAGAGTCTAGCGCCCAACCAACTGATCCACCCAGGAGCCCCCTGACATGCTTCTTATGCAACAAAAATCAACTGGTACCTTGTTAAGAAGTCTAGATTGTAATTGCTAAATCTGTTCCCATCCAGGTTGGCTCACGCCTGGTCAATCTCAGGGAATCCTGATGTTTTCTTTATAAAGTGCTAAGTTAGGGAGACTCTCTGAGTGACAGCACAAGAGACTTGAAGGGACCCTTGGGGAATCCAACTGCCCCATTTCCCTGCCAGGAAAATGAAGTCCAGAGAAGAGAAGGGGCCACATGACCCATTACGCAAGTCTTTCCTGAGTGCCTTTCACATGCCAGGCTTTGTAACACACTGGGAGACACAATAGCGAATGAGGGACCAGATCCTGCTCTAGTGTGGAAATCACATGCTAACCAAGTCTTCACACAGATAAGCAGGCAACCCCAAACAGTGACAAATGCCATGAATTAAAAGGATACGGTGGCACGAGAGAGAATCAAGGGGAGGGGACCTAATTTGGATTTCAGGGTCACCAACAGCTCTCTGACAAAGGAACACTTGGCTGAAGTGGGGGCAGGTCTGAGGTGGGAACGGAGCAAAGTAATGTGTGGAGCTCTGAGCCCCAGCTGTTCCCCTGCCTGGATGAGCCACTCAACACCCTCCAGCTTCAGTTTTCTCATCTATAAAACGGGATTAGTGGCAACCTACTAATTCTCAAGACTGGTGAAGATCAGCTGAAATAACCACTGAGGAAAAGGCTTTACAACTGTGGGGATGTGCTGGGTAGGCAGGTGAGGGCGCTGCGGCCAACAGCCTGTGGGGACGCTTATTTGCCCTGCATCTCCTCTGCAAAGGACTGTGGGCAGACACGGAGCCCCACAAGCCCCACCCTCCCTTCTCCCTGGAGTATGGTGGCCACACTCTCCATCACGGTTTGAGCCACGCCGACTCCACCTGCCACGGTTCTGAGAGCCAGGCTCAGCACGTTAACAAAATGCACTTTAAACACTGAAAGAGCTCAGATGAGATGCTCGGGAGGAAGCTCTGGTCTTGTGAGACACCACATGTCCAAGCTGATTAAGGACAGTTTAACGACTTCAGTGGTCTCTTCCAAAATGAGCATTTCCAGGACCTGGAGTCTTGCCCACCAGAGTGCCTTTCGGGCTGGCACGAGTCAGTGCCATAGAAAGGTAGCTTTGTAGCAGCATCGTGATGCTCACATGGTCACAGGCCAGCAAAGGGGCGTGGGCGGCATGAGGGCCCCAGCACGAGCACCCCTGCAGCAGCAGGGGAGGGGGGTGCAGCACCCCGCAGCGGAGCCTGCGCACTGCACTGAGAGTACAGGATCTGCCCTCGCTGGCAGTGCGCCCTAAGCGGGCCACAGGCCCACGTCTTATTCATCTATGTCCACCACTGGATTTGTCACATAGAAGGGCACATAAGTGTTTGTGAATTAATAGCGTTCTGATTCCCGAGCTGGAAAATGTGGGCCCAGCAACCCAATCTGGACTGCCACAACCATCATGACTGCACAGACAGAGGATGGAGGTCAGCTCCAGGGACGGGCTTGTCTTCCAGCTCCCCAAGTTCCTCTGCACCTTGAGCTACTGCCACCCTGCAGGCACCCCTGCCTTAAGGAACCGTCCTCCAGGTTGCCACAGTCTGCAGTGAGGACCCTCCCCAGCGTCCTAGCCTGCAGCGAGGACCCTCCCCAGCATCCCGGCCTGCAGTGAGGACCCTCCCCAGCATTCCAATCTGCAGTGAGGATGCTCCCAGCTGAAAGAAAACTTAACTTTTGGAGACCAGGCTCTCAGTGGAAATTCAGATTCTAGCTGGCATCAGGGACTCCCAGAGGGCTAGGGACCGGGATAGTCTTGCCCAGGGATGATCCAGTCTTCTTCTCAGGGAGGACCGCACAGGAAGCCTCTGCTCTCCTCCCCGTATGCCACATTCACAATCCTCTGCAGGGGTACTAGACAACTCTAGATGGGCAGGAGAACTCTGCATGCCTTTGCACGGGCATGTATGCCTCTGTGCCAGTGTAGATCCCATGGGTGCTATGTGATGGCAAGAGGCAGAGAGTACCAGGGAGCTTGTGACATCTCTACTCACTGCTGCTGAAAATTTGTCCTCTGCACATGGGAAATGTGGGCAACACATTTGCAGTTTTACCAAGTTTTCAATGGTGCCCATTTTCAGCCAACTGTAGCCAGGTAGGTGCTTTACAGAAAACACTGTGGTCCCAGTTGGACTGTCACTTTCAAGGGACTATTTGATATTCTTGATCCTTGTGAGAGAGGATAGTAGTGGGCCCTGCCCACTGCTCTGCACCATCCCAGCACCACCTTGAAGCAGCTCAGCTCCAGCCAGCTCCAGGCTGGACCCCCCACAGGGAGGACGGAGCACCCACCTGGCTGGTCGATAGCAGCTCTGGGTTCCCGTCACTCATCCCCACGTAGGCACTGTCACCATCAAACTAGAACAGAGAAAGAGAGAGAAGCGGGTCTGAGTAAGGTGTTTTCAAGAAGGCCCCAGGAGATGCCCGAGGAGGTCAGGAGACTGAACGCACTGAGCGGAAAAGTCTGTGGGGCCCAGAGAAGCAAAGCTCGAGCCCAAGATGCCCAAATCCAACTTCAGCAGGATTCTCTCTAGGGTGAACAGAGCAGCCCCTGTCCTGTGGCCCCTGTGGGCTTGGATTAGCACCATTAATCACAGGGCAAGGAAAGGAAAACCTTCCTGCCCTTTATGCCTTGTCCATAGATGTGGCAGATGGTCCTTGTCAGATACCGGGCTCCCCAACCCTGGAAGTATGCAAAGATCTCTCCTGGCCAAAAGGCCATCAGACTATCAGCTAGAGCTAGAATTCCACATGATGGAGGGAGGCTGAGATCTTCAGAGCCCTGGGATCGGGACACCTGCCCCAGACATGCCCTCCAGGTCTTACCATCCTAAGAAGCTTGGCCCCCTCACATTTGCCCCTTGGGCCACCTCTGGCCACAGGCAGGGAGGGCTGTGGTAGAAACCATGCACAGACACACAATCCTGTGTTCTGATAAGCTGTCAGTCTGGATACAGGAAGATCTCCCTGCAGTAGGAAGCAGGTGTTATGGGAGAAATGTGGGCTTTGGGGTCGCTGGCTTTTTTCCATGATGTGTATTCTTGAGCTGGTGTCTGAATTTCTGAGGTTCCTCATCAGTTGAATGAGGATAATGACGGTGGTCCCATCTCCATGGGGTATTGTACCAAAACACGTAGAGCACTCAGCTCATTTCCAGTAAGTTTTCTTCCCTTGAGACAGGTGTTTTCGATCAGGTTCCCTAAATGCAGAGTGTGAGACCAGGATTTTCAAATGCATGTGATTTTTAAACAGCGCTCTTTAGGAAAATCTGTAACGGAGGAAGGGAAGCAGAACAGGGCAGCAGGAGTAGCTAAGTGAAGATGTGATCTCAGCTGGAGACCCGCTGCAGCCTGGTCCCATGAGGAGCCATGGGGCATGAATTGCCCCATGGAGTTCAGTCAGTCACTGGCTGTAGGCTGCCCTTAGGGGACAAGGGGAGGCATAACCTTCTGAGCAGGGTGGCCCCCATCCGGCCAGGGACAGTTCCCCAGAGAACTGTGCCAACTGTGTGCCATCTGCAGCCAGTGGTCCTAGCAGATGGGAGCTGGCTGTAGAGGCTAGTAAAGGGATCTGGGTGAAGCCCCAGTGGCAGCCGGCCATTTTAATTGAAAACTTAATTTTTTTTATTAGTTTATCTTCACATGATTCAAAATTTCCAAAGCACAAAAAGCAACAGAGTGAAAATTCTCCTTCCCACCCCACCTCCCCGCCATCCATTGCTTCTCTCCAGAGGCAACCACTGAGTCTACCGGCTTCCTTTATATCCTTTCAGAGACGGTCCACATATATACATTTTATAGTCGTCTCTTTCACATAAATGACAACATACTATACACCCTGTTTTGCACCTCATTTTTCTCCTAGCAACACATCTCGGGAAGTATTTTATATCAGAACATAATTCTGTCTTCCGGTACCTGGTATTCCACAGTGTGGATGTAACAGATATATTTAAACTAGTTGAGTTCATGGGCAATTGAGTTGTTTCTAGTCTTTTCCCTATTCCAGCACTGCTCTCGTGAACATTTTTGTACGTCCATCATTTCACCTGGGTGTGAGTTTATCTGTAGAATTAGTTTGTATAATCGCTGGGTCCAGACGGGCGTGCATTTGTAATTTTGATAGGCATCACCAAACACCCTCACGGAGGTTGTAAAAATCCACTCTCCCATGATCATGCACAAGATGTCTGTTCATCCAGAACCTCTTCACACAGAGAGGCTCGGATGCCAGCCCACCCCTTCTGCGGGTCCACCCCCACCACCCTTCCCGATTCCCTTGCCTTGCTCTACCTTGTTCTTTGTTCCATAGGCCCTTCTACCTCCTAGCATTCTAAATCCTTTGCTTATTTTACCACGTTCACTGCTTAGAGTGGATTTCCCCTGTCAAAACGGAGGCTCCTGGAGGTCAGGGATCTCAGTCTCTCTGCCTCCCAAACACCTAGAATAGTGCCTGGCAGAAAGCAGATAATCAATAATTGCTTGTTGGCTGAGTGAATGAATGAATGAATGAATGAAGCAAGCATGACACCATTCACATTGTCTTTTACTAGGCCAGTCTTCCCATCAAGGCAGTAGGATTGATGGCTATACCCAAATACCTTGCCAGCACAGGGATGGGCAGAGGCCTTCAGTGACTGCTGTATTAACAAAAGAAAAGGTGGCACCATGCCTAGAGTCTGGGCACTGGCCCCCAAAGCAGGGGTCCATCCACCACACTGTGCCTGGAGCTCATCATGCTTCAAGGCCCTGCTCAGAAACCACCTCCTCCAAGAGGCTGCCATGTTCTCACCTTCTCTGGCTGCCCCTCTTACAACACAGATTATCTTCACATCTGTCTTCTGCCCCAGAGTGGGAGCAACATGGAGGCCAGAACTGTGTCCTGGTCATTTCCAACCCCCCCAGCACCTGGAACAGTCTGGCATCAGAAATGAGACTAGGAATGGGACAGGGTGGGGAGCTTTCAACAAAAACTCCTGGGTATTATTTGATGTGTCACCGTGGCCATTTATTACTTGGATAAAAGTAAAACCTTTTTAAAAGCCACACAATTTATATGTTTTATAAGAAAGAATGACTAGGAATGGAGGGGGACTTATGTTAGTCAGGTCTCTGAAACATTTTATAAGGCAATAGTAATCAAACAGTATGGTATAGGTTAAAAATATAGGAACATGTATCAAAGAAGCAGATGGAAAGATGTCCCCCAAACCCCTTGTTACAGCCCGTCGATCAACTGCTGGCTAGACCAGAACCACTGCAAAAGCAAGGACCCCTGTCTGCTCTCTCCAATGCACACAGCAGGCACTCAGCAAATATCTGGGGAATGAATGAATATACCTGGCACTGAGCAAAATGCTTGCCATAAAAGATCTCATTTCAGCCTCAAAGCAACCCAGCAAAGCAGCTATTATTTTCCCTGTTTAAAACCAAGGAAACAGATTGAAAGGATTAGCAGCTGCCCAAAATTGCACACTTACAGGCAGGCTGGGCTTCAGAGTGGGCTGCCTGCTTCTTTGGTTTGGTCTCTCCCACTAGGCCAGAAGCCCCTTAGGAGTGGGGATCAAGGCTTTGGTGCACCCCACTATAGAACCAACCCTTAGCCTGGGGCTAGCACATAATAGGTGTTTGGTAAGTATGCGTTAGCGGTTCAGGGAGGGAGGCATTATCTGCGGTGGGCAGCGGGGGGATGGCTCTGGGGATATGAGAAAAGAAAATTCTGAATTTTGATGTGTGTATGCTGGAGGACACAAGGGGGTCTGCCAGTGTGACCACATGAGGTCACCAGAGACTGCCTGTAGTGGGCTCATTCATTCACTCATTTATTCAACCAAGAAAAGCTGCCATGTAATGGAGTAAAGCTTGCTTCTTGCTTTCGAGGAGGACCTGAGAAGTTGGCAGAGGTTCCCAAGGCTAGGCCTGAGTCAACCTCTGATTGGTTACTCCCAGGTGTCTTACACGGTGTCCTGAGAGCACACTGGGTTTGGGACCTGGCTACTGAGCAGCCATGACCCCGAGGTGGTGGTGGTGGGGAGGAGGGGTCTGTTCTCTGTTCACCATAACAGAGCCCTTGCCAGGGGAAGGAGGGAGAGAGGGTGACCCTAAGGGTCCCAGGCTTCCCCTGGCTTGGCCCCCAGGGTCCTAAGGCCTGGAGCTTACCTCCTCAGCCCTTTTGGGGAGGTTGCTTTCTGGGGGAAAGAACTTGTAAGCCAAGGGGAGAAGTCACAAATCAAAGCAGGGCCCCCTCCTCCTCCTCCTTGTGCACAGCGAAGATCACAAATGCCCACATCTGTACCCACCACACAGCGAATGCTGAGTGTGTATGTGGACACAAATGTATATGACAAATGCAATGTGCCCAAGCATGGTGACTACATACACACCACAAACCAGTGGGGGACCATGACAGCACTTAGTCACACACACACACCACACCTATGGGTAACACAAGCCAATACAAAGGCGTCCACAGCACAAGCCTGAGTATGCACATGTCACAGACCCTTTATGGGACTGGTTCACAATGCCCACAGCATACGCACAGGGAAAGGAAGGGTTGACCACTCCTCTGCAGCTACATAAACAGAACTCACCTAAATGAGCCCACAAACATGTATGGCAGGAGCACGTCCAGACCTACACAGGAGCTTAAATTCCACGCATATCTCACAATTTATCAGTCCCTTGGCGAAAAATATTTTTTCACACCACACAACCTTCTGTATGCTTTAAAATCGGGGGGGGGGGCGGTAAGATGCAGGGGAAACAAGGGCCTAAGAATTTCTGTGAAATGCCAGGAGAACATCCTCTTACCACTGACTGGAATAGATTAATTTTCCCCATTTCATATTCTAATTATAATTCCTTTTCCCATCGTCATCTTCAGTACTCATTACAGCTGGAAGATTGTTCTGCAAAAGCCAGACCTTCATCTTCTCTTCCCAAGAGTTTTGTCATGGAAATGAGTTTTGGAATCTGAAAGAACCCACATTTTTGCAAATATCGAATGTGTGGGGATAACCCTTTCATGACGGCCACCAGAGATCCTTCTCACAGAGGCTTCTGAAGGGTTTGTCTCTCCCCCAAGCCATGTGGTCTCCTTGGCAAAAGGGGCTCCTGGACCCCTATTCCAACAGCCCTCCCAACCTAGATCCCATTTTTACCTTTAAGGAAACTTAGCAAATAGGCAGCCAAGGTGAAAGGTGAGAGCCCTGATCTTAGAATCAGACAATGCCAGCTCCATGGGCACCACTGTGAGAAGTGCCTTAGCTGCTCTATGCTTCAGTTTCCTCATTCCTACGACCCGCAGAATCGCTGATTCATAGTAGGTGTAAATTAAATATCTGTGGGATGGACAAA